TCCCTCTCCCTCCCCCTGCCCACACGGCCCTCCCCAGCCAGCACGCAGGCTGCGCAGCACCCCATGGCTCACCCAACTGTCCTCGCCTCCAGCCCGCCCCAGGCTTTCCCGACTTGATGCTCGGCCTCAGGCTCCTCCTCCAGGATCTTCACGATGTGCTTCAGCCCGGCTAAGCGCAGCCCCACCTCTGAGCTGCTGCTCTGGATCACGTCCACCACGGCTCCAATCCTGGCCAGCGAGCCCCTCTCGCTCAGCCCCTCGGAGCTGCCCAGCACTGGTGGGAGGGAGGCAGGGACACAGGCGTCAGAGCAGCGGCGACAGCCCCGCAACTCCCGGGGTGCCGTGCACCCGCAGACCCAGCACCCACAGGCCCCCCTCCCCACGCCTGGCCTCCCACGTCTGCCCAGAGCCTTCCTCCACCGAGGCAACGGAGCCGCCTCCAGCACCGTGCCTGTGCCCCCGTGCGTAGCAGGCAACTACCTTTGGCCTGCTCCTCTGTCACCTCTGGGAAGAACAGCCCTTCGCTCGCAAGGAGCTCGCTGAACAGCTCGGAATCCGACTTCGCCGCTGCAGCGGGGGCTGCCGAAAGGTCTTCCTTCGCCGTCGGGCCTTCAGGGCCAGCACTCCTGCAGCTGGCACCCTCCGGGGACACCCCAGTGCTCCCTCCGCCACCCTGCTCGGTCCCCCTCTCGAGGAAGTATTTTGCGTAGACGTGGGAGCCGTGCAGGTCACGCCGAGTGCTGCCCTGGCACCGCTCCTCCAAGACCCGCAGCACCTTCCGGGCCAGCTCCGCAGGTACCGACAGCTGGATCAGGGCTTCTTCATCCACCTCCGACAGCTGCACAGACGGGGTCAAGTTCACCCTCATGGACTCGCCACAGACCCCGCGCCCCTTGTGACAGCCAGAGCCAGAACCCACAGAAAGGATGCACCGCCGGAGGCCCCCAGGGCCGTTCCCCAGGGCCACCCTCCTCTGGCTGTGCCCAGCCCAGCTCCCGCCAGCCCAGGCCTCCCACCTGCACTCACCACCCAACCCCAACCGGCAGCATCACCCCCTGGGCTCGCCTCGCCTACCCAGACCTCGCTGGACACAGCCGCTCGCCCAGCGTCACGGGAGACCGCCTTCCCTCCCACCTCTCCTCGCCCCTTTGCTGTGCCCAGCTCCCCACACTTTTGCCATCCCCCGCTCACCTTCTCCTCTCACTCCCGTTTCTGCCCCATTCGGACTGTCCCTGCACAACTCACGCTTGCCATCGCCACCGCCAGGCCCGGGCCCTTCCCCAGTGTTCTCCCTCCCGCTTCCCCACTGCAGGCTCTGGCCCGCACCTGCTCTCCCTGGTCCTGCTGGATGAGACAGGCAATCTCTTTCTGCTCCTCTGCCTCCAGCTTCTTCACAAAGAACAGCAGCTCCCACCACTCGGCACGGCTCAGGGCCTCTGCAGCCTCGGCCGGCTGCTCCCCCAGGTAAGGCAGGGAGTACAGACCCCCAAAGAGCTTCCAGAAAAACGGCTGCGCCACTGCAGGACAGCAGAGCAAGGAAGGGCACCGTCAGCTCTGCCAGTTCCCCTGTCCTCTGCCACGCTCCCCATGTTCCCCGGGGAAAGAGCTCCTGCGGACTATCTAGGCAGAAGAGGTCCCCACTGTCCCACAGCCTGCTGTGCGAAACAAAGGTGACAGGAGGGCAGCAAGAGAGGGGGAACACACTGGGAGGAGACCCCAGAAGCTGTAGAGATGGGGATTACCATCTTCACTTGAACCTCTTTGGGCTGTAGAACAGAAAAAGCACATGCTCGAAATGGGCACCTCTAGCTCACTGCTCCCCTAAGCTGTTCCCACAGTGCCTGGACCACCCAGGGCAACACACTTGGACACCCTGCACCAGCAGAAGCCACAGGGCCCGCGTGCAGCTGCAGAAGCGGAAACAGAGCTGACCCACGATGCTAGAGGACTCAATGGATAGGAACTTAATTCTGCCATGAGCTTCTCTCTTTTCCAAATGCCTCCTGCTGGCCAACAGGGCAAATATTTATAAGCAAAAGTAAAATGAGACTGCACAGTTATTTTTAGCTAATGCATTCAAAAATGAAGAGAGGGAGATAAAATCCATTATATAGGTTAGATATTCCCTAGGTAATTTATGAATACACTTTCTGATATCCGCTAAGCAGCAACTTGCAGCTCTTTCTGCAAATGGAAAGTGGGAGACATTCACCACCTCAGGACACAACAGAGAAACGCCAAGCTCACTCCTCGATGCTCAAGCATGCTAAGAGCAACTACATGCACGGCTGATTACAAACAATCAGTCAACATGAGCTAATTTATCCAACTCTCTAGATACAATGCAGAAAGCATCTACTTTTTCAATTCAATTTCTATGTGGGATATGATGACTGGAAAGAGTTTTACACAGAGGTGGAGCCCATGCTTCTACCAAAATCAGAGAAACTGAGAAAAAAGGCAAAGTCTAACCAAGTTTGTTTTAACTCGGTCACTTCAAACTGACATGTAGTTAAGTCTTTAGTTACAAGAGGCAGAAGCCATTGAAGAAGCCATCTTTTCAACTGACAACAAGAATATTTTTCAAATAGATAATCAGATGCTGATCTCATGTATATTCTGTCTCTTGCAGCAGTTAAATCCAAATCACTCTACCCAAAAGGTGTCCTACAAGATCACGGGCATGACAAAAGAGTTACTTTAACAAGTTTCCCTGGCCAGAGTCATGTCAGATGCTGAACAAGAAAGAGGTATCTGAAGTCTGGATTTTCCCTTTTATCTGCTTCCAGTATAAGAGCAATGTCAAATTCTAGGAGATTCTGCAGATGTCTTCTGAAAACAGTGCATTTAATGCTCACTTTGCCCAAAACTGAGTGGTATGAAGTTAAAAGCATTAACATGCTAACAATTTGTTTAAAAATTCACATCACTTATTTAAGCGAATCTGAGGGTGCCTAAAGCAGTTTCATCTCAGAGAGATTCTACGTTCTGATTTTGGCAGTTTGTTCAGCTAATTCAAATACAAGTTTTTGACAGTCGCAAGTTAATTCTAGGATTCAAAAATACTCCACACAACCACAAGCCATGTGATTACTTAACCAGTTCTACACAGTCATACAAACTAAAAGCTCATAGTGCTTTCTAAATCCAACCTGCTAGTTGTTAAGTTCTTAGCCATGTAAAGTTCGTCACTCAAAAATATGCCACAGCAGAATCAGAAAGAGATGATACAGCCACACACATGCAGGACATAATCTCACCTGTGTCTAGCTTAAAGCTCTCTATTGGACTATATTCTTTCTCCTGAGCAGCAGGTTCTTCCCACTGGTCTCCAAAGCCAATAATCTCCAACATGTGCCAACACATCCAGTAGGTTCGTCCTGTTGACTGCCACAAAACCTATGGGTGAAACAGATTTAGATGATCAGATTTGCTCACTTATTCAATCCTCATGCTACATTTATCCCCTCTTTTCCCAAATGCATGGAGATAGCAAGCAGTGCTTAAGCTGAAGAACTCTTAATTCACATACAGATATCCACACACGCATTGTCTAATTTTTAAGCATACCACCTTTATTAACTTGTTTCCCTTGTTACACCTGGATCTTTATTAAAAACATCAGCTTTGCCTGTAGTCACTACAGATCTCATCTAGCACAGCAGCAGTGACAGGAGTGCATCCAGTTAAGCACGCCCGTTCCAGAAGTGCTCAGCAGCAGGTGCCTTGGGAAAACCATACAACAGAAGAACTCAACCAATGCTACCTCGAGGCAGATGAGCTGTATATGAAGGGTCTTGAGGCACAAACCACTTAGTGAATGCAAATGTAAATAAAACTATTTTTCTTACTCTGACTTTACTTTCTATTGGGTATACTTTTACACCTTGGTCATTCATCAACCCTCTCAGACAGGTTTTGGGCTCTTGACAAGCATATCTCAGAGAAGGCAATTGTTTCCTGTGCTTTGTCCAAGTTGCCTCTCAAAATCAAAAGGATGTTTTTTATGGCTTTTCATACTGTAGTTTTACATTTAACCTTCTGAGCAGAAGGAGGACCCAGCAACAGCAAGTAGATGTCAATAACTTAAAAAAACAGCAGAAAAACAAACGGATTGCCTGCTTCACTGAGCGCTTTTGGAGTTACACCAATGCTACTAGAAGTCCATTGTGCTGGAGAGCTAAAGAGATAAGATGCTGAGAGACTTTAAGAAAGTACTACATGGAAGGAAACTAAGTTAAACTCCACACACAACACCAATTAGTCTTCAATGCATCCCTGATCTAAATTAGTTACGTACCAAATATCATCTCACAGTAGTCATGGAAAGATATGACTGAAGGCCCAGACACAACAGTGAAACTTTTGCTTTGGAGAGGCGAAGAAAGCAACAGAAAACAGAGCAACAAAGGAAAGACGAGAGGAGGCAGGAAACAGACTCATGATGGACTTGCCTCCATCAAAAATGCACATGAATTTGCATTGTGCACACAGGAGACTGACAGCAAGCCTCAGGCAGGATGAGCTACAAAAGCAGAACACATCAAAAAGGAAAGGATCTAAATTTTAACAAGACCAGGGAGAAGCAGTTCTCATAGCTTGAACTCAGTAGTCACCAGCAGATAAACTGTCAATATGAAGCAAGTGTGATACACAAGGTAGAAAGAGGAACAGAGATAAAAATCAAGTTTCCCTTCAAAGAGAGACTGATGCAAAGGCCCAGAAACGCAACGACGGTCAAGAGATGTCATTATAAAGATGAATGTGAGATGTTTGATTCCTGGTTTCTCCCTGTGAATAAAAATCTCATTGAATGGTTTGACTCGCAAGTTTCTCACATAACTCTTAGCAAACTGCTACAGACACATACACAGATATGAACATAAAAAGCAGGGTAAAAAGCAACACCGTCAAAGACTGCATGTACATTCCAAACTTCCCAGGCAGACTGGAGGTCAAGGAACATTAATAGCTGCAGAAATTAGCTATTTCCAAATACAACAGCCAAACTTCTTCACTGAATGTTAATTACCACTTAGATCTAGTTTTGCCAGTAGTGTGAGCCTTACAAAAGATTATTCTTGAAAATAAGCCTGAATGGAGCAATTGCAAGTTCATTCAACCTAATTAAAAAGAAAAATAAACAGGAGAAAGAACCCAAGGGACCAACTGGACAAAGCGAATGGACGTTAACAGTACACTTCAGCTCAACAGTGAACAAAAAAACCCTCTGAAATTTGTATCGCAGGCAACAGGAGAAAAATGTGAAATGATCTTGGTGCTCTTTCCAAGTGTCCAATTACATTTAAGAGTAAAAGCAAGTACAAGCTTACAAGAAATAGAAAACTGAATTTGAGAAAAACACAAATCTTAGAAATCAAGGAGCATAAGGACAAAGAGAGAATCAGTAGGAAACGTATTTCCTTTGCTCTTTATCTTTACAGACTAGGTTATAAAAGACAAAAGGTTTATCAACCACTTAAAAATAAGATGCAAAGCAGTTATTCAATTGAGGGGGCCTGAAATGAAAAATCATCTATGCACGGTCCAAAACTAGAAAAGTATGTTACTTGAATATTGAGTAAACACAAAAGAAAGCAAAGTAAACTGATAACTAGTAGAAGAACGCAAATCCAGAAAATGATTCAGGTTATTCACTGGTGTTTTGATGTGACTGACAAACACTAAAGCCAGTGCTTCTAATTTGAGAAAAAAAAAAAATCCATTAAATAAATCATCATTACAACTTCTTGACTTCAGTAGTATGCAAACTATTAAAGCATATTTTAGTGGAAAGAACAACAAAAGGTTTCAAGGTAAACAGTAAATTTGAATTAACAGGTAAACCTGCTTCAAGTTTCAGTTCTGACAGACTGACGCATTAGCTTTCTTTGGTGAAGTAATTGATTTTCTAGATTAAAAGAAAAAAAAATTTCAATTGTCAACTTCAGTAAAGCACAGGGCATCACACGGTAAATCATTAAACCAAAGAAGAAAGTGACTGAGTAGAGGAACTGTGGGCAAGAAATCTGCTCAACAGAACTCAAGAACTTAGGAACATGAAGGCGGAAGAACAGGAGTAGAAGAAAGAGCAAACAAGATGCGCAAGCCATATTTGTACAGCACAGGCTGCCCTAACAGTTACGCTCTCCCAATATAAGCACATACTGGTAATATCCACCACCAAACAAGCAGATCAGGCTGGAAGCACCCTTCTTGCACACACACATTTCGGAGCATTTTAAGCTGCTGGTTTGAATTACATCCACAAGAAGTGCTCCAAAACTAGCAGGCAGTTAAGAAGCCTGGACCAGAGTAAGTTAAAGTTACTGAAAGGCTACTGGAAAAATTCATCCTAAAAGCAGTTCTCACTGAATAAGCAGAAGAGTATCAGAAGGAAGAAGCAGTCTGTAACTGGCTGAGGAAAAAATCTGAAAGAATATTCACACAATTTCCCTGTGCACAAGAAAGTAAAGAGAGACAATAAGAGAAAAGAGATGTCAGTGTTTAGTGTTTTTAATTGGCTAATTCTTATTTGGCTGTAAATGAAAACAAAGGCATTACACAAAATAAAACGGGCTGTAGTACAGGAAGGCTAGAGAATCTCATGCTTAACCAAAGCTGAAAGTACATTTAAAGAAGATGGTTTTCAAACACACAGAAGGTAATGTCACATTCTCCACCTCCTCTCTGGAAACATTGGTAATGAACTTTAAGTTACAGCAAGAGAGATTTGAAAGAGCATTAGGAATCACTCATTTCTACAGATACCAGAGTGAGGCTTCTCAGCCACTGATTTTTGAGTATCAGCAACACAGAGCTTTGCACTAGCGTGGCACTGAAGTCTGTTTGCAGACCACCTATATCCGCAGAAATCAGCTTTGAGTAGGGAAGCCTTTGAGCACTGGGTGAAGTAGCACGGAAGTGCAGCTATGACCAACTGAAGTGGCTATCTCAATTTAATAAATACTATCCAATATATACTATATTATACAATATTCAGATATTTATACACCTAATAAATACTGTACTAACATAAATACTATCTCGATTTAATAACAATTTCATGAACTGAATTATAGCCCTGTTTGCAGCCAACACAATCCTGGACTGAGCAGAGGAGATGAGCAGAGATAGCCCTCTATCTACGGATGACAGCCAGCTGAAGCTTGATTTTTAAGAGGACAGAAATTGTGCCTCTAGCTGCAGTGTCTGGGAAGCTCAAAAGCATGGCCAAAGTGCAAGATCAGCAGACAGCCTGCAGAAATAACCATACATAGATTAGAGTGACGTCCAAAGCCCACCGGCTCCCCACTGCATAGTCAAAATCTCAGCTCTCACTGAACATGCGCAGCCTTCAGGACTGAGAAGAAGGACTCAAGAAAAAGGTCTAAGCAGGAGCACACACCTCCCCATGCCCAAAAAAATGCTGGAACCACACTCAAATGCTCTCCCATCCCCAGGCCTGAGTCCAAGCCCTGCTGCTGCAGCACTGACCCATACACTAGCAAGATATTCTGGGAGTGGCAAGAGCTGAATGCCTTAGGCTGAGAATTGGACACCAAGCCAACAAAAGGAATCTTGTGGTCATGTTTACTACAGGTTTCCCCATGAAGAGAAGCCTATTGACAAAGTCTTCTTACTCCAGCTATAGGAGGGATTGTGCTCACAGGCCCTCATCCTGCTGGGGGACTTCAACCACCCTGACACCGGCTGGAAAAGTAGCACGGGGAGCTACAGGCAATCCAGGAGACTCCTGGAGTGCACTGAAGATAATTTCTTAGGCCAGGTAATAGACAGCCCTACCAAAGGAGATGCAGTACTGGACCTGTTGGTCACCAAAGCACGCAAGCTAATTACAGACATTAAGATTGGAGGCAGCTTGGGCTGCAGTGATCATGCACTGCTGGAGTTTGCAGTCCTGAGGCAAAGAGTAAAGTCAGGACTCTGAATTTTAGGAGAGCAAAATTCCAGCTGTTCAAGGAGTTAGTCAACGGGACTCCCTGGGAAACTACCCTCAGTGACAAGGGAGCAGAACACAGCTGGGAGACCTTTAAGGACACTTTTCACAGAGCACAAGAGCTCTCAATCCCCAAGTGTAAGAAATCAGAAAACGATTGTTGTCTTCCTAGACTTCACCAAGGCTTTCAACACTGTCTCCCATAACATCCTCCTAGGGAAGCTCAGGAAGTGTGGGCTGGATGAGTGGTCAGTGAGGTGGATT